CCATCAGCCCTGTTTGTTTGAACTGTGTCCTCTGTGTTCAGTGAGCTCAGCCGTCATTCTGACTCCACGTGTGAAATAAACCGTTTGTTCTGCTGGGTTCATGTCTTTACTCTTATTCTGACTTCATTATTCTGACTCTAAAGTTACAGACACCATCGTTATGTTCGCCACTTCATATTCAAATAACGTCAGTTAGTAAAAATCTAATGAAAGAAATCAGTGTGTTCGGCACAGTCTATGGATCCCTGCAGGACTTTCATATGTCAGAAACCCACGGATCAATGCAACGCACTAAAACACATCACACACACACACACACACACACACACACACACACACACAAGCCCGTTCAGCTATCTTAGTGAGGACCTTCATTGACATAATGCTTTCCTTAGCCCCTTAGCCTAACTCTAACCATTAAAAATGAATGCCTAACCCTGACCCTAAACCTAACCATAACCTAATTGTAACCCTGACACTAAAACCACATTTTGAGCCTCAAAAAGGTCTTCAAACTTGTGAGGACCAGTGAGTGTGTGACTCACAAGTGACAGATTTCGGTCCTCACAAAGATAGCTAGACAGGAACACACACACACACACACACATCTGTGATCGATTATCGAGCCTGCGCTGCTGTTTCCGCTCTCTTCTGCTTCTGCCTGCCATATCCCAGAATCCTCTGCGCCACAGAATAGTGTCCAGTCATTGTGGGTCAGCTCGGTTCGGTTTCATCCACCCAGACACAGCATGAAGGAGACCGCGGCCAAACGACGCGACAAGGCGGGAGGCCGGGACCGGGACTCGAAGGCAGAGAAGCCAAAGGAGCCGAAGGAGGTGGGCCCAGAGCCGCAGGACGTGGAGATGCCTGAAGAGGAGGCGGCTAATGCGGCCAAACAGCCAAAGGAGCAGGACAGCCTGACCCTGGACGGTAAAACTCTTCAAATACCAATACCGATACCCCCCAGCACAGACCCGGGAACGGTCTGTGCTGGCCCGGTACCGAGAGTCACGGCAGCTCGGCGG